ACGGACTGAGTTTGGTTTTACGCCGCTTTTAGCAATATTCCAGCAACATCACGGCGGGGGGACACCAGAAATGGGCTTCACACATTGTGCCCATGTGGGGATTCGAACCCGGGTCTTCGGCGTGACGAGCCAACGCTTTAACCATTAGGCTACCCCACCGCCCCTCTTTAATTATGAGGAACACAACGTTTCGGAGTATATCCTTACTCCTTCATCAGGTCAAAGAATGGTATGAGACAGATAGAATATATATGTACATGTAAGAACAACAAAATTAATAGTGTTTACATCCATAATTCTCTTCCCTAACCCAGTGACTGATGAAGGTTCAGGTGAATGCAGTCTTATACACAGCTATAAACTTGGTATTTATGGGGCTGACCATTTGATTTCCTGGGTGTGGGAAAAGTATTGCTGGTTTTAAATTTTCTCGGAAATGCAGGAAGCATAAGTTTAATTATAGGCCATTCAGTTTACAGAAAAGAAAGGTGTTCTGAACAAACATACCATCACCCAAAAGTGCCCAGATATGTAATGGTAAGATCTTTAACAACTGCGCAATATATAACCCGTTATCCATGAGGGTATTCTTGTGTTCCAGAATGTAAAATATATAATATCGTCAATTATTAGCTATCAGTCTGACGTTTATTCTTATGTTGTAATGGCTGTTCCTATTCTTCTGCAACAGTTGCAGTTCATACCGTGCCTAAGATGGCTGTGCAGGTATCAAAATGCAACTATGACATGTATGGGTCGGTTGAGAATAAGGCATGGTAAACATCACAATCAACAATAGTGTTAGAAACAGCTGAGATGTTGAACACACAATGTTGTACAGAATTACCTCTGTCTTGATGTCCTCCTCTGGCCATGGTGCTGCTACTCGGGGGGTGTTGTTAGTTGTGAGTCAAGACAATTTGCAAGTTTTAAAAAACACGTATGTATATGAGTCATAGCCTCTTTAGTTGCGGGAAAACCTGTTCTATTAATAGGTCCACGTATGGCAGCTGTTATCTAGTATTATGTCACGACTAGACAATATGAACATCTCTCATAACCACACATATGACTGCGTTGCATCTCTGTTCCAAGTGTCTTAGATGCATTTTCCAAAATGTTTTCATGTTATCGTTCACCACTTCAGTGAATTCCATAGGCATGGTTCTACTGCTGAAAAAACTAGAAACACTCTCGGGAGAAACCGGGATTCGAACCGATCATCTAGGCCACACGTGTTTCCTTGTATGTATGTATGTATGTATGTATGTATGTATGTATGTATGTATGTATGTATGTATGTATGTATGTATGTATGTATGTATGTATGTATGTATGTATGTATGTATGTATATGTATGTATGTATGTATGTATGTATGTATGTATGTATGTATGTATGTATGTATGTATGTATGTATGTATGTATGTATGTATGTATGTATGTATGTATGTATGTATGTATACATCATTAATTAAAATAAGTATATTTATCCAGATATATATATATTAGAAGGGCATGTCATCACTTCTACATACATTAAATTAAGTATATGTATCCAGGGAGATATGTATCTGTAATAGCTACAATTGTGATATTCATACCAACGGCTCCAGCGTTTTAACTTCTTATCAGTACTTAAAGTGTTTCAGTACCATTACATTTGTGTTTAAGATCACATATATTTTGTACGTTTTTTACAAATGCCACAAAATACAATAATTATAGCGGTTATTGCACGAGTTCAACTGCATTATAAGCATGTGTTTGAATATGCATGTGAAGTGTTTGCTTTTATTAAAATTATTTATAGGCAAAGACTAACCATTGGTCTGTTTGGTGGGGTACACGCTCACGTGAGCCTACTGACGTACTGACGTCACTCATGCACGTGTCACGCTGCCTGTACGTTGTACACTACACTAGACGCAAAAAGAAACGTTACCCTCCTACCTTTATGAACTTCTGAAAAACTATCAAAGATATTTTAAAAGGTTTTTGTTTACAAGAAAGCCGAACAACACAGCTTTATGCAAATCACCAAAAAGAATTCTCAAATGCATTAATATTGGGGTGAAATGCATCTTTTTCAGAAAAGTTAAATTGTCCTATATTCGTCCATGCCGAAATAAACCAATAATAGTGATGTTGATGTCCAAAAGAAAGGTTCAAATGAAATTCTGCTCTGGGACAATGATAAACCATTAAAAGTCACCATTTGTCAACTATTAAAACAAGAAACAACGGCTGTAGAGTGTGTTGAATTCTAAACTAATCATTGCTATGATTTCAGTTTTTTTAAACATTTTCTGCTGATATGCATGAGTGAAAACAAGTAAAACGTGTCTTTGATATTGTATATTTAAAAAATGTTTAGGAACATCTAAAATTATCTTTGTTAACATTTTTGCTTGCAAAGTAGCATTTTTCCATTTTCTGTTTACACATAGCAATATCAATCGCCAAAACGCAGCAATATTCAAGCAATATTTACATCCATTTCACATGTAAAATGATTCTGTAGTGTATACAGAGAGCCTAAAAGACATGATCTGATACACAAGTACGAGACATATGCCACGATTAACAGCTGAAGGGAGAGAAAGGGCCATTGGGATGGTGAAGATGGGGTCGACATACAATGCTGTTGCCAACGCCCTGTGATGCCACCTTATCACGGTTACAAGACTTCTTCGGGGATTCAGACAGACTGGGATCACCGTAGACAGACCAAGAAGTGGACGTCCACGCATCACAACGCCAGCTGAAGATAGGTACCTCCGTCATTAAGGAAGGAGGGTAACGTTTCTTTTGGCGTTTAGTGTATGTCTAACCCAAGCTGCTCTACACTGGTGTCTCATTATACATTCTATGAACCGCTGACGTTCCAGGAAATATAATCTAGGTTATCGATTTTGAACTGACTGTAACAGCCCTGCGGGAGAGTGCATACGACTTAACTACTTAAACGGCCCGGTATTGTTATCATTTCAATGTGGAGTTAAAACGCATTTCAAGCAGACATTGTGAGACTGTGAACATGAGCATGACAAGATTGGATTGTATATCTGATAATAGGTACTCCAAATTGAGTGACTGGTCTACATTGACAAACTGGCGAGGCATACCTTGTGTAATGAGATAACTAGCCAACAATCAGCCGGTGTTGGAGGTGTACAACTATTTATCATTAAACAGTGTAATCTCTCTTATTCTTATTCTTCTTGTCGTCGTCGTCGTTGACGCCGCGACCTGTGCATAAGGGTATGTGGACCAGACAACCCAGTGATCAGTATTAGGCCACCGAGATTTCTACCACCAAGAGAGTGAGAGGTTGAAAAAATATATTAAAATAGAAAAACGTCTGGACTAATTGTATAACGTGTTTTATGTTAACATCAAATTCACGTGGTCTTGAAATTCATTTGTGATACCATTTCACAAATACTATCCACAGTATGATATTTCGGAAATGGATGTCTGTGGGACGGTATTTCAGTGGACTGGCACTGAATACGTCCGGATTGTACAGATTATCACACACACCGGTTGTTCAACTGGTGAAATAATCCTGAACACAATTATTTTGTTTTGTTTGTTTGCTTGTTGTTTAACGCCGCACTCAACATCATGAGCATCGATCTGCGCAATTCGGATACAATGACATGTGTCAACCAAGTCAGCGAGCCTGACCTCACGATCACGTTAGTCGCTTCTTATGATAAATATCGTGTGAATGTTGCTAACAAACAGACTTCACTAAACGCAAGCTCACCGAAGCCATCGATATCAAACGCCAAAAGCCCACCATCAACCGAGACCAAGGATACTTCATTCCACCCGCTTATGATGCACTCATCCACCAAGCCCAATCTACTGTATAAACTCTGCTGTATAAACATCTCATTATTATTTGTACATCATTGGCTTCCACGCCTGTCCTTTGTCTACTCTCTGGCTTCATCAGTTTTCTGCCTAGCCAATTATGTTAATTATGTTGTTTTCTTTGTTACATTGTTACATCCAGTATATATACACTTCCCGCTTCTTCATGTCCCATTATGCTTGACAACGGTACAAGAATCTGTATCGAAACGTCGCACTCACGAATAAAAAGAAGTTGTTATCCATAAAGTTTGTTCTATACTGTAACAAATGGCCGTTAACTAACGAAATTAGGAAATTTATCATCAGAAAAGGCAAAGACTACACATTGAAATTCACTTTGCACATGCATTTAGTTGAAAATATAGAATAACTGGTTAACAGGCTGGTTATGTACAGTATTGCTATATTATAAGACATATCCCATGAAGCTATAAAAGATAATTGGATTAGTCATCACTAAACTTTACACTTTTTGGGATGAGTGTTGTTGAAATTTATTTCGAACTTTGCCAAAAGCTTCTATAATACTACAGATCTATATACATGTATTGAAAAATGACACGGTCAAGTAAATGTGTCCAAATTACCAAATCATGAGGTGCTTTGTGTTATTGGTCATATCAGATTCTGTTACAATTGGCATGTTCGGGACAGCGTTGTGACTGCAGTAGTTGAGACAGTTAAGCTTTAACGTCATATTTACACACAACTTGGTCAAAAGTAACACCATGACAAAAGAATAATATATTTTGTTTTCATTTCATTTCACATGGGATTTTTAAGATTAATTTGCCCCCAGCAAATGCTAGGAAGAAATATAAAACGTTCACGCTTTACACATAAAATGACTTCGTGGTCCACAAAAATAATGCTGTTGTACCCATTCCTCAGCTCCACACAACTGTCTTAAAATATGCTCTGCCCAAAACACTCTCTTTGTTTCCCTTTATCTAAATTAAAAACAGTCAGTGATAGTGTCTTGTCGGTGATTCAATGGCACAGCAGAGACAACGAACTGGACGAACATCTTCAAAAGACATTTTACGGTACACATACAGGTACGTTTTCAATTGTAAACATTGCATGTTCTACAATTAAATGGTTTAGGTATGCCTCCTGAGCTGCTTCCTCTCCCGATCACTCCAGTTCGATACCGCATCAGCCCCGATATGTTCACTTCATCTGTATAGAAGACTTCAACCCATACGTTGTGCTGCCGGAGAGTTTGGTAGGTGCGCTTTTCTTTCCTCAGAAACACGTTCTTTCGTTTTTTCAAACGAATGAGATGCTGCTTGCAGAAGAGGTCAGCTTCAGTATCAGGTTCTGTGAGGACTAATGTGACATAGTGATTATTCCTTTGACCTTGCATACAGTAGAAATCGGCGAAGTACAGCCTGGCAGAGTCATCAAAGAGTCTCTCCAGGGGAACCACTACTCTGGTGTTTCCATAAGGGGATTTGGTTGGTAGACCTCCGTTCCAAAGGGTCACCCCGAAGAACACACCTTCAAGTTTCCCGTTTATGGGACAGCGTGGATCCCCGCCGTTGTCCTTCACACTTGGCATCATGGTGTTATTTTCAAGTTGGTTGAAATAGTAAGCTGGTTCATTGCGATAAAGGCCGTGGACAGTATCGGAATGCCGGCTAGAACAGTGATTTTTAGCCTTCGTAAATAGTGCTTGAAGATAACCTGAAATGAATTATATTTAAAGCAATAAGTATCTGTAACAGGTGAATGAAATCGAAAGTGCAGATTCATCAACTAAGTGTTAACCTTCCGGCAACCACTTGTTTTGTTACACTGACACGTTCAGTGAAATGTTTCAGGATTCAGGATAGATGAGTTAACACATACTGACATTTCATTCAGTAATTATACCATATGGTTCACAGTATAGTGTGTCGTACATATATTAGTTAATAGCGCAAATTATGAAATGATAAGTAAACCTGTAAGAAACATGGACATCATATTGAAAAGAAAACAAGCAGTATATTTAGTCACATCAGTGTTCATTGAACTGAGAAAAGGGTATTGATTGTTTATCTTTATAGTTGTGGAATGAATACAAAATGTTCCCAAATACTTAATGTATTTGTTTGATCTTTCACTATCGTAGATAAGAACCTATGTCAATTCAGTCAAAACATTTGAACCCGTAAAGGTCCGGGTTAGAATTGACCTTCAATAACCCATGCTTGTCGTAAGAGGCGACTAACGGGATCGGGTGGTCAGGCTCGCTGACTTGGTTGACACACGTCATTGGTTCCCAATTGCGCAGATCGATGCTCATGCTGTTGATCACTGGATTGTCTGGTCCAAACTCGATTATTTAGAGACCGCCGCCATATAGCTGGAATATTGCTGAGTGCGGCGTAAAACTAAACTCACACACTCAAAACATTTGACTTTTACACAACCATCACACACGACAAGAATATAGGAAAACTTCTTGCACAGGGGCGTGTCACGCTTAGAAACAGCGTTAGAAAGACATATAGAAATATACACCCAACCCTAGTACTTTATAAAAGGAAAGGGATTTAACGACGGAACCACCCCCTCCTCAATCAAAGTTAGATTTCACCACGTAAACTATTTTTTATGACCCGTCGAGGACTACGGATCGAAAGCGAGATGATTTCCCTACAAAATGAGCTATAAAAATGGCCACAATCGGATTATTATTTCAAAAGTTATACGCCACGACTCACCGAAAACAGCTACCTCCGCCATTCCAAGCCAAAATCGTGGATCACCCAAGACAGCGCAAACTCACCTTTTAAATTCGTTTATTAATTCCAGTCACGTTGACAGCACCTATGTAGGGCTAGATTCGATCGGCAGCGGCATTCCACGGGTCTAAAAACTTATTGCAACATTTATAAATAATTTCCTCGACAGTAAGCAGGCATTTTCTCCAAAACCATCGGCAATCATACTCACTTGTCGGCCATAGACGGCCTGAAATAATAATCCGATTGTGACCATTTATAGCTCATTTTGTAGGAAAATCATCTCGCTTTCGATCCGTAGTCCTCGACGGGTCATAAAAATAGTTTACGTGGTGAAATCTAACTTTGATTGAGGAGGGGGTGGTTCCGTCGTTACATCCCTTTCCTTTTCTAAAGTACTAGGGTTGGGTGTATATTTCTATATGTCTTTCTAACGCTGTTTCTAAGCGTGACACGCCCCTGTGCTTCTTTGTTCCATGGGGCTTCTGTCACTTAACGTGGTAACCATAGATATTGTTATATCTCTGTCTTCAAATATGTCATCTGAAGTTAACTTAGAAAATGAATAGTTGGACATCCTTATTAGTGATAACGTGAATGTGTCTCCTTGATTATCTGCGTCTTCATATGGGCGTATTCAATATTCGCACACCTAACACGTTTCGGCGCGGTTTGCGGAATTAACAAGGTACATGAAACTCAACAATTATACAAACCTTCATCAACATAAAATGTTTATAAAAACATAAGGTTTCAGCCGTTGACACATCGCTATCGTAGCGGGACAGCGCCATCATCCACACGACAGTATCTAGGTCAGTTGTGCGCTACGTGATCAATATTCGTGATAGCTAAAATCCGGACAAACAGTATGGTGAACAGTTAACGCCAACAGCTGATAACGGGATAATATTGAAGTTCATGTCTCACAATGCTGATAAGAAAGGTTCTGTCAGGAAATGTCTACTTTTGTCTATCTTTATTAAAAACGCATTTAAGTGTTTTAACTGAAACAAAAGAAAGTAATGGGAAGAGCTATGTTGTCAGGTTCTGTTCTGCCCAGAACTGTTTCCTTTATTTGCTTGGTGTTTAACAACCCATTCGGTAATCCTTCAACTCTAAAATAAACGATTGTGGACAAGACAATCCAGTGACTGATGAAAGTTCAGGTGAACCCAGCCTAGTACACAGCTATATACTTAGTATTTAATGGGCTGACATTTGTTTTCCTGAGTGTGGGTAAAATATTGCTTGTTTCAAATTTTCCCGAAAATGCAGGAAACATAATTTTAAGCATACAAAATTATAGACCATTCAGTTTACAGAAAGGCAAGGTGTTCTGAACAAACATACCACCACCCAAAAGTGCCCAGATATGAAATGGTAAGATCTTTAACAACTGCGCAATATATAACCCGTTATCCATGAGGGTATTCTTGTGTTCCAGAATGTAATATATATAATATCGTCAATTATTAGCTATCAGTCTGACGTTTATTCTTATGTTGTTATGGCTGTTATGTTGTTATTCTTCTGCAACAGTTGCAGTTCATACAGTGCCTAAGATGGCTGTGCAGGTATCAAAATGCAACTATGACATGTATGGGTCGGTTGAAAGTAAGGCATGGTAAACATCACAATCAACAATCGAGTTAGAAACAGCTGAGATGTTGAACAATCAGTGTTGTGCAGTATTACCTTTGTCTTGACGTCTTCTTCTGGCCATGGTGCTGCTACTCGGGGGGTGTTGTTAGTTGTGACACAACGCAATTTGCAAGTGTTAAAACAAAAAACACTTATGATTGTGAGTCATAACCTCTTTATTCGTGGAAGAACTGTTCTATTAATAGGTCCAACTATGACAGCTGTAATCAATTATTACGTGAAAAAGGACACCTCCCTTCTAGGCCACACGTGTTTCCTTGTATGTAGATACATATAGACAGATACTGTGTTTAATACATCAAGTGGACTTCTCTGGGGTACAATAGTAAATGGACTAAGACACAAATAAAATCATCTGGTCAGACAATATATATTTTGAAAGGGCTTGTCGTTATTTCTATGTAATGAGTGAATGAGTATGTTTTTACGCCGTTTTAGCAATATTCCAGCAATATCGCTGACACCAGAAATGGGCTTCACACTTTGTTCCCCGTGGGGAATCGAACCCGTGTCTTCGGCGTGACGAGCCAACGCTTTCACCACTATGAATGAAGTATATTTATCAAGACAGATATGTATCTATAACTAAATATTATTGTGATATTAATATTAAATGATCCAGTATCTTAACTTCTAAATAGCATTGACAGTGTTTCGGTACCATTATGTTTGCGTCTAAAATTATATATATTTTCTCCTTTTTAGCAAAATGAAAAACAAATCCATTATATTGGAAATAACTGGTTTTTTTCACAAGTTCAGCTACATGATAAGCATGTGTTTGCATAAATATATAAATATATAAATTGTTTGATTCCAGTAAAATTGTTTACATTCAGATACTAAGCATGAGTCTGTTGTTTGGGTACAGCTACTTGAATGTTCTTATCACGCTCACGTGAGTCTACTGACGTACTGACATCAATCGCGTGTCACGCTGCCTGTAAGATGTATGTCCAACACAAGCGGCGCTGTGTACTCCGCCCCACACTGGCGTCCATTATACATTCTACGAACCGCTAACGTTCCAGGAAATACGATCTAGGTTATTGATAAACAACTGACTATAACATCCTTGCAGGATAGTGCATACGACTGTGCTACTTATAATGGTATAGTTACCACTTCACCTTAGTCTCAGCATGGAGTTAGAGCGCAGTCGCAAAGCATTCTCAAGTAGACATTGTGAGACTGTAATGTAAGCATGAAAAGATGGGATTGTATGTCAGAAAATTGGTATCCCAAATTGCGGGATGGTCTACACTGACAAACTGGCAATGGTCGTGTTTCTGGTGGGACGTAAACAGCATACCATTTTTGGGATGTTGGAGGTGTTTAACTATTATCCTTAACCGTATCATTGTCGTTGCTGTTGTTGTTGACGTTGTTGATGTTGACGCTGCACTAAGTAAGATTCCAGTATTGAACCTGTGGACACGATTATGTGGACAGACAACCCAGTGATCAGTATTTGGCCATCTATATTATGTGGTTCTCATCTCCATCCTCAACCAGCAGGAGAGCGTTTGGCCGAAAAACATATATGAAATCATGTTTTTAGATATATCTTTGATGTAGATCGAGTCGCCTTGCTTCGATAAATTTAGATAAAGAAACATTAAGCTGACCCTGTGTTTTATGTGTGTGCACATCATGGGGTTCAATTTGTTATTGGTCATATCAGATTCTGCTAAAATTGGCATGTTAATTATAGCGTTGTGACTGTAGTAGTTGAAACAGTTAAGCTTTAACGCCATATATACACAAAACGTATTCAAAAGTAACACCATGACAAAACAATTATATATTTTATTCATTAAATTTCAAAAGGACTTTTTAAAAGAAAATTTGTCTCATAAAATTCTTACAGTGAAGTTTTCATCTCTGGAATAAATGTACAAAAAATGCATAACAAGGGTTCAGTAGCATGGCCACCCGAAAGATGCTGCGCTTTCGAATGTTCAATAATGGAAACAGTAAAATCTGTATGGATAAAACAAACATTGATTCATCACCATCTTCAAAGGATATTTTGTGAAATACATACAGGTACGTTTTCACATTTACACATTGCATATGTAACAAACATTTTTAGGTATGCCTCCTGAGTGGCTTGTACCATCGCCGAAGACTTCAGTTTCTCTCAGTACCAGTCCTCTTATGTCCACTTCATCTGTAAAGAAGACTTCAACCCATACTTTGTCCCGCCGGAGAGTTTTGTAGGTGCTTTCTTCCTTCCTCAGAAACACGTTGGTTCGTTCATCCAAACGAATGAGGTGCTTCTGACAAAAGCGGTCAGCTTTTGTATCAGGCTTTGTAAGGACTAATAGGACGTAGTGATTATCCCTTTGACGACGCATACAGTAGAAATCGGCAAAGTACAGCCTGGCAGAGTCATCAAAGAGTCTCTCCAGGGGAACCACAACTCTGGTGTCTCCGAATGGAGATTTAGTTGGTGGACGACCGTTCCAAAGGGTCACCCCGAAGAACACACCTTTAAGTCTCCCGTTTATGGGACAGTGTGGATCCCCGCCGTCGTCCTTCAGTTGTGGCATCATGGTGTAATTTACAAGTTGGTCGAAATAGTCAGCAGGTTTATTGCGGTAAAGGCCACTGACTGTATCGGAAGACCGGCTGGAACAGTGATCTTCAGCCATCGCAAGTAGTGTTTTAAGATGACCTGAAATAAATGATGTTTTTAGCAAAACGTATCTGTAAAAGGTGACGAAGTGATTAACAGGCGTGTACACATTTAGTAAAGTGATCCCTCATCCAAATGCTAACGTTCAGGACAACTACTCTGTTGTTTTTTGTTACACTGACAGGTTCAGGGTAGATTTAAAAACAGATACATTTCATTCAGTATGTCATAGCGTATGGTTCATAGTACAGTCATGAGTGTGACATACATATAAAAGGATAATTACGCAAATAATGAAATGTCAGTATCTTATTCACAATCCTTGATGAAACAGGGAGCAAATGTAGTAACCTCAGATTGTAGTGATGTGTCCTCTAGTTTCACATCAACAGATACGTCGTGAAGCGGCAATGTGAACTTATCTTGTTGCAGAGAACCTTTCGGGTTATTAAGTAGAATATTGGCACAGTCAATTCTGGATAGAACCTGCGATGTCACAAGATGATGCCCACCTCGGGACCCAAACCTAGGTACCTCCAGCGGGGATCGAACCCGGGCTTTCAGCGTTATAGGCAGATGCCTTAACCACTGCACTATTGCTCTCAAGATAACTAACGGTAGAGGTCATGTGTGTAAATATAGTATAACCAGAAATTATTGAGAATTTTAGGAATATGTTTAAATGGATTTCTAGTATAAACAACCTTGACCAGCTATCAAGTGCTTGGTTTCATTCAAGAGAGAAAACTCCGTTAATACTTTTTCATTAGTTTGTGAAGAGTTATCCCCCCTTTCTTTACTTGCAAGCAGACGACATTTTCAGTGATCCTCAGTATGGATGATTTAGAGAAGAGGAAGTTGATTTTAGAGTATTATAACAAGGACATCAGATCAGCTAAAGTGATTTCAAGTAGAACAGGCATCCCTTTGTCCACTGTTTATCGTGTTTTGAAACATATTGCAAATGGATATGACATTGAGCACCAGGGAGGCGCAGGTAGGCCCAGACAATTGACTGTCGGTGACAGGAGGCATCTTTGTATTATTGTTTCTAAAAACAAACAAAGGAGTTTAGAAAACTTAAGGCTGGATATGATTGATAGAGGAACTGTGGCTGTCTGTGAGGAGACAAATAGAACTGAGCCGCATGCAATGGGTTGGCAGAAAAGTCGAGGAATTCCATCACCGATGATAAACCCTGAACAAAAGGAGCGAAGGTTGAACTGGTGCTCACAACATATAAAATTTTAACTGGGACAATGTGATTTTCTCAGATGAAAGTTCTGTGTGGCTGTTTCCTAATACACTGAGATTCTGCACCAAACAAACTGAAAAAACCTTTGTATCAGCGCCCAAAGTACAGTCCGAAATGTAACGTGTGGGGTGGCATATCTATGTTAGGGGCAACGACCCTCTGTGTATTTGAAGGGAATATGAACAGTGAGCGGTACACAGATATTCTCGAGGGACATTTACTTCCATATGCTCACGTGTTCTATGTAAATGTTTGGATTTTCCAGCAGGACAACGACCCAAAACATCGTTCAAAGCATTCACAGGCCTGGTTTCGGACCCAAAATAGGACATAATTAGATTGGCCAAGTTATAGCCCTGACCTAAATCCAATAGAAAATGTTTGGGGACTTATGAAGGAAAGTGTCAATAAGAAAAGTCTGACAAATATTGCTGAAATGAAAGAATAGGTGGTCCGATATTGGGACAGCATGGACCACGACTTTCTAACTTCTTTGATCAGTAGTATGCCCCGCCGCATTGAAGCCTGCATTGCTGCCCATGGTGACTTGACAAAATACTAACTGTTCACCTGTCTTAGTTTGGAGTTATGTTCTGCTAATATTCACATTTAATCCGCGAGTAATGAGTGAAAAAAATATAAAAAATTACAATCTTAACTTCTCAATAATTTCTGGTTGTACTTATATACGTAGTACCACAACCGTGATCGTCAGTATTACCAAACTGGTAAGGTCAAAGAACTCTCATCACGCTGGTCGCGTCTCCCACATAAATTATGTAATAAAACTGGACCGATCTGACTGAGCTGGTTTTTACGCCGCTTTTAGCAATATTCCAGCAACATCACGGCGGGGACACCAGAAATGGGCTTCACACATTCATCCCCATGTGGAGATTCGAACCCGGAATAAAAACTGGGATACTCATTAAATTCAAATCATCTTCACGCAGTCTCTTTTTAGCAATACGTAACTGGCAAAACCAGCACATCACTGAAGCAAC